GGTTGCCAGAATCGAGAACTTTTTTAGAAGATGTAGATAACCCTAATGTTTCACTAGCAGAAAGACTGGAACGATCTTGCAGAATAGGAAGCTTATCTTTCTACACCATATATAAACAAAAAAGCTACAATCTGAAGAATTAATAAGAGGCGAGAATAGGAGAATGTGATGTTTGTTCTTTCTGAAATGGAGGGTTTATTGCAGGAGGAATCATTTCTTCAATGAAGAAAAGAGAAATTTGATTGCCACTAGATCATGAAGCTGGAATTTACGGGATGGTTTACGTCACAGATTGTAAGCTTTACGATTTTCAGCCTGGACCTTGAAAATCTGTTGTTTAGCTTCCTTGCGAAGATCATCTGGAGTGTTTATGAAATTGGACTGGATCTCAGTATTTAACAGTTCTGTAATTTTATTATGATTAGCGGATTTCATGTTTGTTCCAAACCATGAGTTCAAATGGAGTTGTATTGATACTGCATTGGTGTGTGGAATTGATGACTTGAACTTCACCGACGTGTGCATACCCTTTTGATGGATTTTGAAAGAACAGAAATTGAGTCAATAACAGCAAATATATACTTGTAATTTTTATGAGTACTCTGGAGTGGTTCTAAATGATCAATGTGATATGTATGAAGTGGTACATCTTATTTGGGTATAGAATGCAACATACCTTCTTGCTTACCGCATTTATGATTAATTAGTATGCAAGGAACACAATTAGCAATATAGTTGTCAATTTTATCTTTAAGTTTAGGAATATAAAATTCTTGTTTGATGAGTTCTTCAGTTCTTTTAGAAGCGAAATGTCACGAAGATGTGCGTCCTTAACCCTTTCAAGACAGGCGTGCCATATACGCATTCCCTAAGAATGTCTCTTACAGCCGGGTATTCCATCCACGCATCACTAGAGATTTCATTCAGAGAATGGGTGATGCATATATGCATTTTAAGCTTGAACGTTTTTCTGAAAGCCACTAGATGGCATCCTATGTCCATTACTTTTGAAATGAACACAGTTTTAGGTTCCTGGTATTTTACTCATCAGCTGTTGCGAGGGTGGGTGGGGGGAGGGAAAGCGTAAACAGAGGTGTGCTCTTTAAATCGCTGCATGCTAATGAAAACATTCTCGTGTCTGATTTACATCCAATTCCTTTTTTTATTCTATTTTCCTCTCTACAATGTATGGTCTTTTAGGGCTGCTGTGTGAAGTTCTTTTACGTTTTGCATTGCCTTCAGATATATTTCTGTTTCTTTTTTTTCTTTAGGAAAGCCTCACCTCCAGTCTACTATGGCGGGAAGCTGCTATTTATCAGAGGAAGAATACTCTCATATGGTTAGTGAACCATTTACTAATGCAAACGAGAGTGATGATTCATTTTCTAAAGAGTTAGAAAGCGATACTTTTTCTAAGAGTTAGAAAGTGATACTTCTCCGTGCTTCGAGATTTACCACACTCAGTCTTCATTTAAAGTTTTGTTACTTCTTACTGTAAATAGTCTTTATTGTGTTGTTTTATTAATTTTAAACTTTATTGATAGATTTTATCAACTAAAACTTTGGAATAATTTGAATGGCACTTCCGAAAAATATTTTACAAGATAAGCAATTTTTAAAGTATATTTTCATGTAAAATAAAGAAAAAGAAAGAGCTCAAGTAATAATCTAATATGATACTAAAAATTACGATGCTAGAGGTAAAAATTTTTTTTCTGATTTTTTTTTTTTTTTTTATTAAATTAGGATTAGGGATGCAAAACCTCCGTCTTGTATGTTGACTGCCTTCGATTCCCTTCCGTCCCGCATGAGCCATCACGAAAAGGTTAATTATGTCACTTTGCATTGATTCTGGAACAACAAGTAATTCTTTACCGTCTACAAATTTATAAAGTATATCAGATTTAACACAATAGTCATCATAAGGTTTAACTAAGACTTCTTTGATAGCTCAGATTTGATCATCTTGAACGTTTCATATTTTCAAAATGAGGCTATCTTGAGTGATGACCATAACAGGGGATCTGCTTAATGCGTCAACATGTGTCATTCATGTTCCAGTTCTGTGTTCTATTTCGTAGTCGAAATCTTCTAACATCAATGCCCAACATGCTATTCATGTATTTAAGTCTTTCTTGTTCATAGTCATTTTGAATGCATTACAGTCAGTAATAATTTTGAAGGGTTTTCCTAAAAGATAAATACATCTTTTCAAAGCTTGAATTACAGCTAATACCTCAAGTTCGTTCTGGTAAATTTCTTTTCCACATCAGATGTCTTTTTACTCATGTAATAAACAGGATGTAGGCAATTACCAATCACAGAACCTTTGCATGAAGATACAACCATAACCATGGATACTGGCATTGGTGTGTATTTCGGTATTGCTGTGCTGATTATAAATGCTGAGTTTCACATAAACATTGTTTAAAACAATTGAAAGCTTTTCTTTTGTTGTCACCAAAGTGGAAGTCAGTTAATAGTTGAGCAATTATGGAAAAATTGAGAATAAATTTATGAAAATATCCGGCAAGACCAAGGAAACTTTTTAAGTCTTTGTGACTTTTAGGTTCAGGATAATTAATAACAGTGGCTTTTTTAAGAGATGGGAACAGTTGACCATTTTTGATGACATGACCAAGGAATTCAATTCTATGACTTAAAAATTTAGATTTCTTAAAATTAATTTCAAATCCATAAGGAGATGCAACTGAGAAAACGAATTTCAAACACTGAATCCCTTCATCTTTAGCAGAAATTATGATATCATGTAGATACAGTAAAACATGACCTTGCAAGATTAAATTCTTGAAAATGGAATTTACAAACCTTTGAAATACAGAAGGCGAAGCACAGAGACTGAAAGGTACACGTAGAAATGATATTGTCCATTATGTGCAACAAATGAAGTGTAATGTCGGCTGTTTTTGTCGACACTAACATGGAAAGCATTTTTTAAATCGACTGTGGTGAATGTACGAGCATCTTGTAGTTTATCCAATAAGTCTTCTATTAAGTGTAAGGGATACCGATCTTTAACTATTTTCTTGTTTAATTTCTGATAGTCAATACAAACTCTTGGGTCGCCGTTTTTTTGCATACTACTACAACTTGACAAGAATATTTGGAAGAACAAGGTTCAATTATGCCATCAGCTAACCAAGTTTGAATTTGTTTGTCTACAATGTCACTTTCGACAAAAGGTAATTGTCGAGGTCCGTGAAAAATAGGTGTTTTATCTTTTACTTGAATAGTCATCTCAATGTTCGTAGTTTTGGTTTTGAGAGGTCTGTAATTGGAGACAAGATGTTCAATAATTATAAACTTGTTCTTTTGTAGCAGTAGGACCTATGTCTAGTTGAAATGTTTGATTAAGGGAAATATTATTAATGTACACATCTTCCGGATCATTTTGTTTAACAACATGTTTAGAAATATGAACACCATCTTTGTTTATGTTCACCCTGTTTAAGAATGTCCATGTCAATTATAGTGTCAAATGGCTTTACATTACTGTCTACAACATAAACATTAGTTGTAAATAATTCCGTATCTATTAAAATATCAGCTGTAAAATAACCCATTGGTTTAATTTTGTCATTACCAAAGCCAGTCAACATACTATGAAACACACTTGCAGAGGAATTCCCCATTTGTTTATAAATGTCATTAGACAGAACGTTGCTTCCTTTCTGGTATCAATGATAGTGGTGAGTGACTTCATTAATTTTGATTACTTTATGGAGTAGGTTTGGCATATGAAAGTTTATTGATGTGACAGCATTTGTTTTTTCAGATGTTGGTGTGTTGCTTTCGTTAGCATTTTGCTTCTGAGTTTCCTTAACACAGGTAAAGGATTTATGACTGAAATTTTCACAAAATAAACATTTGGGTCCGCGATGTTTGTCGGGACAAAAATTAAGATAAATGACCAAACCCATTACAATTATAACATTTCGATGACTGGTAATTACTGGAATTTGCTGAGAAACATTTTCTGTCACTTAAAGCTAAAAATGTAGATTCCCGAGATTGAATTTCGAAATTTTAAAAAGAAAGAAGATCAGAAAATGTTACGTTGCATCTTGAATATGTGTTTCGCTTAAAATCTAAAACAAGATTATATTTAATTAAGATAAATAAATTTAGAACAATTGAAATCAAAAGTGGACCATAGGATTTTGAATCCTCTTGCAGTGAATCTAAATTTCGTATAGTGATATCAAGCTCATCATATAACTTTCTCAAAGCTGGAACATTTGAAGAATTTTTAACACTTTGCAAGTTTAAAAGTTTACTCGTAAAAGAATATATGAAGATATCTTTTTGACCAAAGCAATCTTCAAGTAACTTTACACAGTTGCCGTAATTTTTATCAGTTAACTGAAAACCAGATACTACACTTAAAGCTCCTCCTGTCAAGTATGTTTTTAAATATGCAAACTTTTCAATTTTCGAAAGTGAATCATTTTTTGATCGATAGTGATTTCAAATGAATTCCAGAACTCATTCCACGATTTCGGATCTCCTGAATACAGTTTGATTGTTAACTTAGGAAATTTAACTGAAGAGGGTAAATTTAAACTATTATTCTAACTTACAGTTTACAGAGTACTTAACAGTTTTTCAGATGTCGACGAGGTAATAAAAGCATCTTTCTGTTTCAATAAACATTTAAGTTTGTTAGTATACCTGAGCCATTTTTCTTGGTAGTCAGTACTAGTGTTTACTTCTTCCTCTATTAAGTTTACATCAATGAAATGTTCAATTTGACTATCTAAGGACTTTAGTTTTTTCATTTGTTTTTTTATGTTTTTTTATTAAAACATTTTCCTCTACTAAAGCAACATCAATTCTTGAATTTAGTTTAGTAGTACTGCTTCTTTCAACACTCTGCTTTTGTTTTAACTTTTCAAAATTTTCTTTTGAAGACATGTTTATTACTTGAAACAATTATACAGTCAAAATGAAATTGATAAATGTAAAGTGCTCACCAGTAATCCTTCTAAAAATAGGCTAACTTTATTAATCCAGATGCGATGGTGATCAGGATACAGCACAGGTGAGCTAACATAATCCAGTTATGGGCACGGAATCGAAAACAAACCACTTCTGGCACCAAAATACAGGGAAGACTTGATGATAAACATTACTACAACTCATGAAGTTCAACTAGGACTTCACTGTTTCACAACTTATCACTGTTTGTATAAAATTGCTATTAAAAATAAATCCATTAAACATGAGAAATCAGTTATTTAATTAAATATAAAAAATCAGTCATTATTTACAAAATAAAAATTAGATAAAATATAGTATATACAAAATTATAAGATAGTACAAAATGAGTAAAAATATACATAAATATTTACATCAATATACAATATCATGACAATTTTCAATATTATATGACCATTCTTGGTGTTCAGGTTTTTAATCTAAATAATTCGATTTTTTCAAATTGTTATATAATAGGTAAAAATACTAAAGCAGCTTGTATTAATGTTGAGCCTATTAAATCCTGTTAAATTACTGAATAAACACAGCTCAACATTTTTCAACACAAAACTTATTCTCAGGAAACACGAGAATTATCATCTAATAGGATTTTGCCTTGGAGATGGTCTCAAGATGTAAATGCTCAACCTCAGGTTAATTTTCTTTAATTATGACAAAAGATTTTTACAAACAAGGCAACTGTGTGGTAGAAAGTTGAATTTATATTAAGTGTTATAATTTATGCATTAATAAATATACAAAAAATAGAAGCTTATTGACTTTATAGAACATTAAAATGTTATTAGGAATGCACACTAAGCACAAAAGTTATTTGTTGACTCACACAAAAAAGGGGGGCAGTTCTATATCTCCCGTTCTACTGGGCTGATCGACAAAATTCAAATTGAGTTTTTCACGTCTCGAAAGCGTGACTTAGGATATATGTTAGATTTATATATATATATAGCTCTATTCTAACATAGTTATTTTGACACAAAAATTGGACTTTTTTTGAAATAACATACCGATTTTTTTTCCCATATTTCGATTCTACGACTCAAATTATGCCAAAATATGAAATTTTGTAAAATTTGGTGCGAAATTTATGGAGATATTCAAATTTATGTTGGTGCTTTTTTTTCAGTTTGCTCCAAGAATAGTTCACTTGGCGCACTTCTTAATGCATGGCAGGGATGGCCAAGACGTCGACCTCAAAGACATTTTAGGTAGTCCGTGCGATCATCCCGATAATGACCTCGGATATTAATAATTTAATTTATGACTTATGACATAGAATTAATGAATTATTTAAAATATAACTTTACTACAGTTTATGCTTTAAAACCTAAAACAAACTGTGCAAAGTAATACAATGAATTTGTCGTTAGAATTAAATAGAAACAACTTGACAAAGTGGGATGCTTAGATTATATCCAGTAGGTGGCGCGACGATAGCGACGCGGCAAGTCGACTAGTCTACCCGTCACACCCACTCGTTTAGTTCCAATTCTCAGTAAATCGTCTTACGTTGCAGGCCACTCGCTTCCTACTGCACTGATACGATAATTTGTTTTTTCAACAACCCGTCCAAAATGACTCAGCCAGGTACCAGTGCTAAGAGAAGTAAAACATACCATTATTACAATGACTGGGAAGATGATTTCTTTTTTGTTATGGTGAAGGAGAAACGTGTTTGTCTCATATGTAACTCAAGTGTGGCACTACCAAAAAAAGCAAACGTTGAAAGACATTTTAAAACCATGCACTTAGAATATGCTACAGACTTTCCCATCGGCAGTGAACTTCGAAAAGTTAAAGTGCATGAATTAAAGTCGAATTTACATTTACAGCAATCGTTATTTCACTAAAGCTAAAGCAGTAACATTGCTTTAGCTTTAGTGAAGGAACCAAAGCTAAAGCAGTAACATTGGCGTCGTTTAAAATTACAGAAGTTTTGATAAAGCAAAAAAAACCCATTCGAAAATGGAGAATTGATAAAAGAAGCTTTCTGTAAAGCGGGAGAAGTGCTTTTCCACCATTTTAAAAACAAATCTGAAATAATATCGTCAATAAATAATATTTCTTTGTCGCGTAACACTGTGATGCGATGGACTGAAGCTATAAATAATAATTTGGAGGATTTATTAAATGACGAATGACGATTTTAAAGCTTGTAAGTTTCTATCACTTCAATTTGATGAATCCACGGATATTAGTGACATTGCACAGTTATGCATTTTTGTGAGAATGGTTTTCGAAGATATGACTTCAAAAGAAGAGTTATTAACTATAATTCCATTGAAAGAACAAACAAGAGGCCAAGATATCTACAATTCATTTAAAAACTTTATTGATAAGACAGGATTTCCAATATATAAATTGGTCTCTATTACAACAGATGGAGCTCCAGCAATGGTCGGGAATCAAATTGGTTTTATTGCCTTGTGCAATAATGAAGAAATTCCCAGTCTTACCAGCTATCATTGAATTATCCATCAACAGGTATTGTGTTCAAAAATATTACAGTCTAATGATATAATGCAAATTGCTTTTAAAATCGTCAATTCAATTCGTTCAAGAAGTCTTCATAGACGACAATTTCGGGCACTTTTGGAAGAAACTGAATCAAAGTACGGAGATCTCTTATTGCACACAGACGTGAGGTGGCTAAGCCGTGGTGCTTTTTACTTCCATGTACGAAGTAAAAAGGAAGTATTGTAATCACGAAAAGTTTCAGGCAGCATATTTCAATGAAAATATCAATTTTGACCGATATCGAATGCAATTTAACGATGTTTTTGCGTCATATCTGTACGTAAGGACAGAATAAAATACTCTTTTCCTTCAAAAAAATTCTAAAACTGCTTTAAAATTAATTCTGAAGAGAATTTTTCGTGGTGTCTGTACGAACGTATGTATGTTCGTGCGTATCTCGCATAACTCAAAAACGAGTAGCCTCAGAACGTTGAAATTTTGTATATAGGACTGCCATAACATGTAAATGTGCACCTCGTATTTTGGTTGCACGAAACGTATATAAATATATTTATATATATATCCACTCTATTACCCAGCTCAGTGATCTCAGTTTCTTTACTCTTATATGTTTGTAAATTGTACATTTTTCGCTTTAAAAATGATTGAATTATGTTGTTTTTATCTTCCGGTTAAGGATTTTATGCCATTAGTAAATCTGTGTGCAATATTGTTAGAATTATCAGCAATTTTAAAGTTTTTTAATTGCCGCTAAGCCTGTTTTTAATGGCGGCCATTGATGTTTACATTTGAAACAGGAGACTAGTGGATTTGTTGCCAATCTAGAAAAACTTAGCTTCGCAACAACAAAGATAACGCATTCATTTATTATTGCCAATTAAATCATGCTTAATTCTTTCTGGAATTTTTTCGAGGAAATAAGTGTTTGAGATTAACTTCGTAATTTTTAATATAGATATTTTTGAGTTTTTATGTATTTTGGCCTTCTCGCGAAGTGAGAACTGAATTAATTGAATGAGAAATACTCAATCGTCTGTGAAAAACTGTTTCTGTTTTTGTTTTGTTTTGCTTAATTTCTTTTATACATCGTTTCTAGCTTTATTATAGTATTTGAATAGAACATGTGGCAACGATTAGATAATTCTTTAAATGATATACATTTTGTGCATTCTGAGTTATAATATGAATGAAATATAATACTGTTAAGTAAACCTAGCGCCAGAGTGTCGCTATGGTAAACAAAGTGAATTTTAAAGAATGCATTTATTCTATTGTGGTTTATGCGCTGTCGGCGAAGTTGGTTTAATTCAATCTAATAAGTTTAAATAAAATGCAAGAAAAAATGCATATAATTTAATATTCCGTACAAGGAAGTCATCAGATTTTTTAAAAAGATTTTGTATTCTTTTACCAGAAATAAAAAATTTTCTACAAATGAAAGGAGAGCACATTACTGAATTGGAAGATGAGAAATGGCTCATGAAACTAGCTTTTCTCTGCGATATCACTGCAAAACTTAATGACTTAAACCTAAATCTACAAGGAAAGAATAAATGTTTAACAGACGTGATGAGTGCAATTAAAACTTTCAAAGAAATGGTAAAAAGGTATGCATCTCAATTAAAATACATGAATTGAGAAACTTCAAAAACATGGAGGAAGAGTGCATCCATATTCCAAACCGAGACTTCGAAGATTTCGCTGAACACTTAGATGTTTTGTTTGAAGAATTTGTAAGAAGATTCATTGACTTATTTAGGTTGGAAGAAAATACTCAAATTTATGATATTTCCATTTAATGAAACTGTCAACATTGATGGAGTATCTGAAAAAAATAGGATATTTAATAGATACCACATCAGTCACGGTCGAGGAAGAAATTATTAAATTAAGATGCGATATATTTCTTAAATCCAGAGCATCTAGCGATACTGATTTTTGGAAATTAATTTCTAAGGAAATGTTTCCAAATATTTACAAATTGATTTTGTATTTGAAATCATATTTTGGATCGACATATCTTTGCGAATTTGCTTTTTCAACCATGAACGCCATAAAAACCAAACATCGGTAACGTTTAACAGATGAATTTCGTGTTTACACATCGCAATAAGCTCGTACCAGCCACAATATGACAAACTTGTCGCAGATATACAGTGCCAAATTTCAACTAAACGAAGTGAATAAAATGGTCATTTTTTGATATATGAATACTTTGATTATTTTCGGCAGTAAATTTTTATTTTGTAAATATTAATATTAATTTTTTTAAAGAAAAATTATATAATTTAACATTTTTTCTTGTTACGAAAATAAATATATAAACATGTACGTTACGTTAATTTAGCTCTGCCATCGGCAGACCGCCTTCGATTTTTTAAATGTGGAGTAGACTATGTATCCCAAATGTTTGGCCACCCCTGATATATGGCAACCTATTTTCTTTTCCCATGGGCGGGAAAAAGTCACAATCGTTCCTTTCTTCAAATAATGTTCTTTATATTATATTTTTAATTATATTTGTTATTAAGTAATTTTTCTTTTTCGAATTTCATTTTAATTGTTTAAGTTGCATAGTTTCTTTTGAATAACTGTTTTAATGTAGTTTGTTGTAACTGTTTTAATGTTTGTTTGTAGAATTTCTATTTACCCATTTGAACTGCTTAGTTTAAACCTCTGAGCATTATGGGTTTAGGCCTGAAATTTCAAAGCTCCTCAAAAAGT